TCCTATCCAGGGAATATGCTGCCCAGACCAATATCAAGGAGCTTCTTTTGAATGCTTTCTTCTCTGTTTAAAAAAAAAAAATTTATTTAAAATTCATTTTAACACATACTGTATATTAGTTTCAGGGGTAGAATTTAGTGAATCATCAATTGCCTCTAACACCCAGTGCTCATCACATCACGTGCCCTCCTCAATGCCCGTCACCCAGTGTACACAGTGGAATATTACCCCCACCCACCACCCCTCCAGCAGCCGTGTTTGTTTCCCAGAGTTGAGAGTTTCTTATGGTTTGTCTCCCTCTCTGATTTCATCATATTTTTCCTTCCTTCCCTGTGTTCTTCTGTTTAGTTTCCTAAATTCCACACATGAACGAAATCATATATTTGTCTTTCTCTGACTTATTTCGTGAATGCTTTCTTCTAAGATTTTTATAATTTCAAGTGTTAAGCTTACGTCCTTGATCCTCTTAAGTTTATTTTTGTGAGGGGTGTAAGGTAAGTGTCCAATTTCATTTTTCTGCATGTGGCATTCAGTTCTTCAGTACCCTCTGTGGAAGGACTGCCTTTCCGCGTGGAGGACTCTTGGTTCTCTTGTCAAATATTAGTTTACCATTAACTGTGAGGATTTATTTCTGGGCTCTCTAGTCTGTTCTCTTGGCCATTGCATCTATTTTTATGCCAGTATCCTACTGTTTTAAGTACTGTAACTTTGTAGTATAGTTTGAAATCCGGAAATGTGATGCCTCCAACTTTGTTTTTCTTTTTTATGATTGCTTGGCTGTTCAGGGTCTTCTGTGGTTCCCTACACATTTTAGGATTGTTTCTTGTGTTTCTGTGACAAATGCTATTGGAATGGTGATAGTGACTGCGTTAAATCTATAGATGGCCTTGGGTAGTATGGACATTTTATTAATATTAATTCTGAACCCAGCACACAGAATAGATTTTCGTTCATTCCTTCCCAGTTTCTTTCATGAAAGTTTTATATTTTTTTTTCCCACAGCTCTTTCATTTCTTTGGTTAAATGTATTCCTAAGTTTTTATTGGTTTTGATGCTATTGTCAACAGGATTGTTTATTTCTTTTTCAGGTGTTTCACAGTTCATATAAATACCACTGATTTATTTTTTTAAGATTTTATTAATTTATTTGACACAGAGAGAGAGGTCACAAGTAGGCAGAGAGGCGGGCAGAGACAGAGAGGAGGAAGCAGTCTCCCTGCTGAGCAGGGAGCCCAGTGTGGGGCTCCATCCCAGGACCCTGGGACCATGACCTGAGCCGAAGGCAGAGGATTTAACCCACTGAGTCACCCAGGCACCCAGTCACAGTTCAGATTTAAGCTGAATAACCTTTGCTGATATTGAGAACATTGCACATATTTTCAGTAACTTATTGCACATATTTTCAGTAACTTAAAAGTAAGTGTCTACTCTTCCTATCTCTACTTCCTTTTACTAGATTTAAGTAAATCAAATATTTACTCATGGTAGGAGATTCTGGCATTAACTATAGCTGAGTTTAACAGAAATACAGAAAACCATGAAGATGTACCAAGCATTCACAAATGATCACTTACAACAATTCCAATAACACCTAAGGTTTGCTGCTTAATGTAATTCAACAGGACAGCACTCTGACCAATGATGAACAACTTAATAGGAAATTCTTTCACCTATTCAAGGTTTCATTATAAAGCTACTATATTTGACCATATTAAAAATCTTAAAACTCCGTTATATTGTTATTTCCATTATATATTAACTTAGCAACAAGTCATCTTTTTGATGCCATTTATTCAACTGGAAAAAAAAAAAGATGGTACGTTCTGGTTTTCTCCTGTTAGATTTTTTTTTTTATTTGACAGAAATCATAAGTAGGCAGAGAGGCAGGGTGTGGGGGGAAGCAGGCTCCCTACTGAGCAGAGAGCCCGATGTGGGCCTCGATCCCAGGACCCTGAGATCATGACCTGAGCCGAAGGCAGAGGCTTTAACCCGCTGAGCCACCCAGGCGCCCTCCTGATACAGATTTAATTCAATAATTTGATTTCTAACTATGTGAAAACCACATTTTTTTCCCTCAGCACTGGATAGCACTGAAGTGAAAGCAGCTTTCATAGTCTTTGACTTTACTTTAAATGAAAGCATTATGGAATTTTCAGCAGTGAACATTATCTGGTTCCTACCTGAACCCCATCTCCAAGGAAATGAGAGAATCTAAAGTGAAAGTCCTATTCAAGGCAAAGAGGTTCCAATCCTAAATATTTCACTACAACAACCTTGTTCTGTCACTGAGTAGTAAATGATCAATGACCACTAATGATGGTAACAGTACCCTCACTGATGTCATTATTAAATTTTACATACTATAAACATTAGGGTACAGATGGCCCTTCTTTTCACTACATCTGTATCTTTGGGGTAAATACCCAGTAGTGCAATTGCAGGGTCATAGGGAAGTTCTATTTTTAATTTCTCGAGGAATCTCCACACTGTTCTCCAAAGAGGCTGCACCAACTTGCATTCCCACCAACAGTGTAAGAGGGTTCCCCTTTCTCCACATCCCCTCCAACACATGTTGTTTCCTGTCTTGCTAATTTTGGCCATTCTAACTGGTGTAAGGTGGTATCTCAATGTGGTTTTAATTTGAATCTCCCTGATGGCTAGTGATGATGAACATTTTTTCATGTGTCTGATAGCCATTTGTATGTCATCATTGGAGAAGTGCCTGTTCATATCTTGTGCCCATTTTTTGATATGATTGTCTGTTTTGTGTGTGTTGAGTTTGAGGAGTTCTTTATAGATCCTGGATATCAACCTTTTGTCTGAACGGTCATTTTGCAAATATCTTCTCCCATTCCGTGGGTTGCCTCTTTGTTTTGTTGACTGTTTCCTTTGCTGTGCAGAAGCTTTTGATTTTGATGAAGTCCCAAAAGTTTATTTTGGCTTTTGTTTCCTTTGCCTTTGGAGACATATCTTGAAAGAAGTTGCTGTGGCTGATATCGAAGAGATTACTGCCTATGTTCTCCTCTAGGATTCTGATGGCTTCTTGTCTCATGTTGAGGTCTTTTATCCATTTTGAGTTTATTTTTGTGTACGGTGTAAGAGAATGGTCGAGTTTCATTCTTCTACATATAGCTGTCCAGTTTTCCCAGCACCATTTATTGAAAAGACTGTCTTTTTTCCACTGTATATTTTTTCCTGTTTTGTCGAAGATTATTTGACCATAGAGTTGAGGGTCCATATCTGGGCTCTCTACTCTGTTCCACTGGTCTATGTGTCTGTTTTTATGCCAGTACCATGCTGTCTTGGTAATCACAGCTTTGTAGTAAAGCTTGAAATCAGGTAATGTGATGCCCCCCATTTTATTTTTGTTTTTCAACATTTCCTTAGCGATTTGGGGTCTCCTCTGGTTCCATACAAATTTCTGGATTATTTGCTCCAGCTCTTTGAAAAATACCGGTGGAATTTTCATCAGAATGGCATTAAAAGTATAGATGGCTCTAGGCACTATAGGCATTTTAACAATGTTTATTCTTCTGATCCAAGAGCATGGAATGGTCTTCCATCTTTTTGGGTCTTCTTCAATTTCTTTCATGAGTGTTCTGTAGTTCCTCGAGTACAGATCCTTTACCTCTTTGGTTAGGTTTATTCCCAGGTATCTTATGTTTCTTGGTGCTATAGTAAATGGAATCGATTCTCTAATTTCCCTTTCTGTATTTTCATTGTTAGTGTATAAGAAAGCCACTGATTTCTGTACATTGACTTTGTATCCTGCCACGTTACTGAATTGCCAATGTTTATAGCAGCAATGGCCACGGTTGCCAAACTGTGGAAAGAACCAAGATGCCCTTCAACGGACAAATGGATAAGGAAGATGTAGTCCATATACACTATGGAGTATTATGCCTCCATCAGAAAGGATGAATACCCAACTTTTGTATCAAAAGGATAGGACTGGAAGAGATTATGCTGAGTGAAATAAGTCAAGCAGAGAGAGTCAATTATCATATGGTTTCATTTATTTGTGGAGCATAACAAATAGCATGGAGGACAAGGGGAGTTAGGAGAAGGGAGCTGGGGGAAATTGGAAGGGGAGGTGAACCATGAGAGACTATGGACTCTGAAAAACAATCTGAGGGATTTGAAGCGGCGGGGGGTGGGAGGTTGGGGGATCCAGGTGGTGGGTATTGGAGAGGGCACGGATTGCATGGAGCACTGGGTGTGGTGCAAAAACAAGAAATACTGTTATGCTGGAAAAAAAATTAAATTAAAAATAATAATAAAAATGGGCTAATCACAACTTAAAAAAAATTTTTACATACTATTTTATATCCAAAATATGCATATAAAATATCTGCAGAGATAAGTTAGTATTAAGAATTAAAAACCCCTCGGGCGCCTGGGTGGCTCAGTGGGTTAAGCCGCTGCCTTCGGCTCAGGTCATGATCTCAGGGTCCTGGGATTGAGTCCGTCATCGGGCTCTCTGCTCAGCAGGGAGCCTGCTTCCCTCTCTCTCTCTCTCTCTCTGCCTGCCTCTCTGTCTACTTGTGATCTCTCTCTGTCAAATAGATAAATAAAATCTTAAAAAAAAAGAATTAAAAACACCTCTACAAATGTCCTTTCTTCTGAAATCTATATAATTACTTTCAAGACTAGAAACCTAAATATCCTGACTACATTAAAAACACATGTCTGGAAAACAAGAAAACACATGTCTGAATATACATTATGGGAAAGTTCAGAACTAATATTCTCATTAAAAAAAAAGGTGGGGGGGCGCCTGGGTGGCTCAGTGGGTTAAAGCCTCTGCCTTCGGCTCAGGTCATGATCTCAGGGTCCTGGGATCAAGCCCCACATTGGGCTCTCTGCTCAGCAGGGAGCCTGCTTCCTCTCTGCCTGCTTCTCTGCCTGCTTGTGATCTCTGTCAAATAAATAAAATCTTTAAAAAAAAAAAAACCCACAAACTTAGAGTACTTTTGTTATTTCTGAGTCTGTTGAGATGTAAAGGAGACCACTGAATACTAAATTCAGGTATTTACTAAATTGTGTTGATTTCCACTCGTCAAACAGCCCTAACAAACCAACAGCTGGAACAAGGATAGTTTTTCTCTGCTCACTGTCTAGTAGGAAGTTGAAACATTTTCAATTAAAGCCTTCATTTTTCCTGTAGACTTCGACATGTGTGGCCCCAATAGCACTCTGTTCTGAGGTGGCCTCTGATGCAGGTTTTGGATTTCACCTTGACTATGGCTTCGATATCGATAGGCAAATGCCTTTTTCAGAGCCCCTGGTAGGAGGGCAGCAGTGTCCGTAGCATTCACCGGTTTGGGCTTTATTTCCTGTTCTGAACTTTTCACTGACTGACATTTTACACTGTTCATATCTTTAAGGATCTCTAACGTATTTGTCATATCAGGTTTCTTTGGACTGTTCTTAACCAAGGTCTTTCCAGCACAGGTTTTTTTTCTCTCTTCGCTCTTTCATCAGGTTGGGAGCCCCGATGGGGGAGGGTTGGGGGAGGTGGGGGCGGGAGAGGGACAGGATGGTGGTGTAGTAACAGATGTGGTAGGATCTAAGTCACCTGGAATGACATGTTGCTGTTCTTGCTGGGTCACAGTTTTGGCAATCTGAGCTCTGAGAGCAGCAAGTTCATTTTCAAGGGCACAGATCTTCTGCAATGCCTCCTCATTTGCTAGTGCTGTCTTCTGTGGAAGCTCTTCTGGAGACAGGTTTGGTAAGGAACACTGCCTGCTTGGCAGCTTCTCAAAGAAAGGAAGGTCATTCTGAAGAGACTCCCTTGATCTGACCTCTGTCCTTTGTCTTGCTGAACACTTTCCTTCTTCTTTGGCTACCCATCCTCCATCAGCAAAAGACACCACTGCATCCTCTCCAGGATGGCTCGGGCTCCGTTTTGTTGTAGGGCTGGTGAGCTGGAACTGAATGTTTAGGCACTGAATCAGTGATAAATTAGTACCAATTTTCCTTACGATATTTTGAGATGAACCATGTGGATTGCCGAATGCATGCTTCCTCCAAGCTGTTGAAAAACCCAGGTACTTTGAATTTCTCCAGCTTCCAGCTTGGTTATCCCCTGATTTTATTCCTGAACAAGGTTAAATAGGAGTCGATGAAGAGTGGACATCTTTCTCTTCTACCCAGTCTTTGGAAAAGGATCTAATTTCTCATCACTAGATATGTGTGGTTTGCTATAGGTTTCTATAGATTTTCTTTATCATGTTGAAGACGTCCCCCTCTATTCTTAGCTTGTTGGTTTTAATCACGAATAAGTGTTGGATTTTTTCAATGACTTTATGCATTTATTTACATGCTTTGTATGATTTTTCTTCTTTAGCCTATCAGTACGATGAATTACATTAGTTGATATTCTTTTTTATTTTATTTATTTATTCAACAGAGAGAGAGAGAGATCACAAGTAGGCAGAGAGGCAGGCAGAGAGAGAGGAGGAAGCAGGCTCCCCACCAAATGGAGAGCCTGATGTGGGGCTCAATCCCAGGACCCTGAGATCATGACCTGAGCTGAAGGCAGAGGCTTAACCCACTGAGCCACTCAGGCATCCCTAATTAGTTGATTTTCAAATGTTGTACTGGCCTTGCATGCCTGGGATAAACCCTAGTTGCTCATGGTGTATAATTTTTTAATACATTTTTTGATCCATTTGCTAACATTTTGTTGAGAATTTTTGCAACTATGTTCATGAAAGGTAGTGGTCTATAGTTTACTTGTAAAGTCTTCATCTGGTTTGTGTATTAGGGTAATTCTGGCCTTGTAGAATGCGTTTGCAAGAGTTCTCTCTGCTTCTATTTTCTGGAAGATATTGTAGAGAATTGGTATTATTTCATTCTCAATTGTGTGGCAGAATTTACTGGTGAAAACATCTGTGCTTGGTACTTTTTAGAAAGTTATTATTTTAGTTTCTTTAATAGATACAGCTCTGTTCAGAGTATGGATTTCTCATTGTGTAAGTTTTGTGTCTTTCAGAGAATTTTATTGAATCTATTAAATTTGGGTGCATAGAATTGTTTGTAATATCTCTTTTTAATGTCTGTGGGATCAATAGTGGTGATCCCTCTTTCATTTCTGATATTTGTGTATTTGTAATTTGTGATTTCTCTCTCTTTTTTTTTCTTGGTTAGCCCTGATAGAGTTATATCAAAAAGTTAATGTTTGGTGATCATTGATTTTTCTCTAATGATTTTCTGTTTTCAAATTCGCTGATTTCTGTTCTAATTTTTATTATTTCTTTTCTTCTGTTGGTTTGAGTTTATAGAGCTCATTTTTCTCTGGTTTCCTAAGGTGGAAGCCTAGGTTATTGATTTTAGAAACTTCTAATTTTCTAATATATACATTAATTGCTATAAATTTCCCTATAAGCCTTGTTTTTATTACATCTTCCATATTTTAATATGCTGTATTTTCATTTTCATTTAGGTAAAAATATTTTTAAACGTCTTTTGCTTTCCTCTTTGACCCAAGTGTTATTAAAAGTGTGTTATTTAATCTCTAAATTTTTTGTTATTTTCCAGCTACCTTTAAGTTATTGAGTTCCAGTTCAATTCCATTGTGATCTGAGAGCACAATTTGTATGATTTTCATTAAAAGAAAATTGTTGGTTCACTGGGGTGGCTCAGTGGGTTGGTTGTCAACTCTTGATTTCGGCTCAGGTCATGACCTCAGGGTCGTGAGATTAAGCGCCACATCGGGCTCTGTGCTGGGGGTGGAGCCGACTTAAGATCCTCTCTCGCTCTCTCCTCACTTACCCCCACCCCACGAACGCGCACACTTTCTTTAAAAAAAAATTGTTAAGGTGTTTTTATGGCCCAGAATGTAGAATATCTTGGTGAATGTTCCATGTGAGCTTGAGAAACATGTGTATTCTGCTGTGGTTGGCTCAAATATTCTATAGACTGTCTATTAGGTCCAACCGATTGATAGTGTTATCTAGTTAAACCCTGTCCTTCCTGATTTTCTGCCAACTGGATGGGTCAGTTATTGATAAAGACACATTTTAATCTCCAAATATAATATTTGTGCAGTTCTATCAGTTCTTGTCTCACATATTTTGATGCCCTGTCTTAAGTGCATACATATTAAGGATTATTATGTCTTCTTAGAGAATTGATTCCTTTATCATGATGTAACGTCTCTCTTTGTCTCATAACTTTTCTACTTTTGAAATTAGCTTTGTCTGGAATTAATATAGCTTCTCCATCTTTCTTTTGATTAGAGTTAGCATGGTATATCTTTCTCTATCCCTTTACTGTTAATCTATAGGTGTCTTTGTATTTAAAGTGGGTTTCTTATAGACAGCATATAGTGAGTCTTTTAATATTTTACTCTACTCTGATGGTCTCTTTTAATTGGTATACTTAGGCCACTCACAGTGAAAGTGATCGATTTATTTGGATTAATATTTAACATGGTTATAAGTTTTTCTCATCGATTATGTCTGTTCTTTAAAAAAAAAAACAACCTTCTCCTCTTTTTCTGCTTTCTCTGGTTTTAATTGAGCATTTTATATGATTCCATTTTTTCCTCCTTTCTTAGCATATTATACTCCTTTAAAATTTTTATTGGTTGCCCTAAAGTTTGCTATATACATTTTCATGTCATCTCTGTCTACTTTCATCTAATACTAGGCTGTTTCATGGGTTTTGCAGTTACTTTATAAGAATATTCCCAATTCCATATCCTTTCCTTATGACATTTTTATCATTCCTTTAACTTATCCATATACTATAATCTTGTAATACATTGTTACTTTCATTACTTTGAACAAACAGTAGTCCCCCAGATTTTTTTCAGTTAAGTTATTATTATTGAAATATAGTTGCTATACAATGCTATATTAGTTCCAGGTGTACAATGTCATGTTTTGACAATTCTATACATTATGCAGTACTCACCATTATAAGTGTAGTTACAATCTGTCGCCAGACCGTATTATAATATTATAGACTATATTCTCTATACTTTTTCATCACTGTGACTTATGTATTTTGTAACTGGAAGTTTGTACCTCTTAATCCTCTTTACCTATTTTGCTCATGTTCCACGCCCCTCTTCTCTGGGGTTTTGTGCTTGTTGTTTATTTGATTTTTAGATTCCAAATATATGTAAAATCATACAGTGTTTGTCTTTCTGTCTGACTTATTTCACTTAGCATAATACCCTCTAGGTCCACCCACGTTGTCATTAATGTCAAGGTCTCATTCTTTTTTATGGCTGAGTAATATTCGATTATGTGTGTGTCTGTATACACCTACATCTACTTGTATCCACTTATTTATCAATGGACATTTAGTTTGGTTCCTATCTTGGCCATTGCAAATAATGCTTCAGTATATATGTGTATATATATAAATATATAAATATATATATATATATATTTATTTATTTATTTCTGAACTACTGTTTTTGTTTCTTTGAGGTAAATACCGAGTAATGGAATTACTGGATTCTATGGTATTTTTAAATTTTGAGGAAACTTCATACTCTTTACTACAGTGGTGGAATCTTTATATTCCCACTAACAGTGCACAAAGCTTCCCTTTTCTCAACATCCTTGCCAGCACTTGTTATTTCTTGTCTTTCTGACACTAGCCATTCTGACAGGTGGGAGCTGATACCTCATTGTGGCTAAGATTTGGATTTCCCTGATGATTAATGATGTTGAGCATCTTTCCATGTGTTAGTTGGCCATCTCTATGTCTCCTCTGGAAGAGTGTCCATTCAGGTGCTCTGCTCATTTTTTAATCTGATTATTTGTGGGTTTTTTGGGTGTTGCATAAATTCTTTATATATTTTGGATATTAATCTCCTACTGCTTATATCATTTACAAATGTTTTCTCACATTCAGTATGTTGCCTTGTCATTTTATTTAGTTTCTTTCACTGTGTAAAAGTTTTTTAGTTTGGTGTAGTTTCAATAGTTTATTTCTGCTTTGTTTCTCTTGCCTAGGAGACTTATCCAGAAAGATGTTGCTAAGGCTGATGTCAAAGAAATTATTTCTCTGTGTTTTCTTTTAGAACTTTTATGGATTCAGGTCTCACATTTATGTCTTTAATCCACTTTGAGTTTAATTGTTTGTATGGTGTAAGAAAGGGGTCCAGTTTCATTCTTTTGAAGTAGCTGTCCAGTTTTCTCAACACCATTTATTGAAGAGACTGTCTTTTCCCATTGTATGTTCTTATCTTTTTTGTCATAGATTAATTGACCGTATAAGTATGGATTTATTTCTGAGCTCTCTGTTCTATTGGTGTGTGTGTCTATATTTGTGCCAGTACCATGGTGTTTTGTTTACTGTAGCTTTGTAGTGTAGTTTGAAATCAGTTTGTGATACCTCCAGCTTTGTTATCTCTCAGGACTGCTTTGGCTATTCAGGGTTCTTTGTGGTGTATTTTAGAATTATTTGTTCTAGTTACATGAAAAATATAGTTGGAATTTTGAGGGGGGTTCCATCGAATCCTTGGATTGTTTGGGGATAATGTGGACATTTTAACATATCAAGTCTTCCGTGAGCATGGTATACGTTTGCATTTGTGCTGACTTCACTTTTTTCATCAATGTCTTACAGTTTTCAGAATATAAGTCTTTTACCTCTTTGGTTAAATTTATTCCTCAGTATTTTATTCTTTTTTGGTGTAGTCATAAATAGAATTGTTTTCTTTATATCTCTTTCTGCAACTTTGTTATTAGTATATGAAAACACAACAGGTTTCTGTATATTAATTTTGTATAGTCATTATTGAATTCATTTATTGCTTCTAATAGTTTTTGCTGGGGTCTTTATGATTTTCTATATATAGTATCAGTTACAAATAATGATGGTTTGACTTCTTCTTTACCAATTTGCATGCCTTTTGTTTCTTTTTCTTGTCTGATTGCCCTGGCTACAACTTCCAGTCCTACACTGAATAGAAGTGGCAAGAATGAACATCCTTCTTCCTGATTTTAAAGAAAAATCAGGTTTTCACCATTGAGTATGGTGGTAGCTGTGAGTCTGTGATTTATGACCCTTTATTATGTTGGGGTGTGTTCCCTCTACACCCACTTTTGTTGAGCATTTATA